TGGGATTGCTTTGTGTATTACATTCAATGCGATATTAAGAACACGTTTGGAGTACATATTAATATGAGGATGGAGCAGTTCAGCTGAGCGCCATTCATTACCATCGATGAGATCACCAATTTTTGTGAAGCCGGCCTCGATAAAGTGTGTGAGATTCAATGGCGTTTTATGTAGATGGTGTAGGATTACATACATACATACATACAAACAAACAAACAAACAAACAAACAAACAAACAAACAAACAAACAAACAAACAAACAAACAAACAAACAAACAAACAAACAAACAAACAAACAAACAAACAAACAAACAAACTAATTAATTAATTAATTAATTAATTAATTAATTAATTAATTAATTAATAAATAAATAAATAAATAAATAAATAAATAAATTAAACGAAACAAACAAACAGACAAACAAACAAACTAATTAATTAATAAATAAATAAATAAATAAATAAATAAATTAAACGAAACAAACAAACAGACAAACAAACAAACTAATTAATTAATTAATTAATTAATTAATTAATTAATTAATTAATTAATTAATTAATTAATTAATTAATTAATTAATAAATAAATAAATAAATAAATAAATAAATAAATAAATAAATAAATAAATAAATAAATAAATTAAACGAGCCAGGGATAATTATCACCGCAATTAAAATATCGTTTAATGAATGACAAATTACCCCGTAACGCCCAAGAGTGTCACGAGAAACTCGTGCACGGGGTATAGTTATTGTGAGCATAGAGGTAAATAATCCATCTTGTGCCAGGAAGTTGTCGTACATCTAATTGTATTCAGTTCAGAGTGATGGATACATCGTCTACTACTTACCAGACCCAGTATACTCGTTTAAATCCTGTTCACACCTCTCCACTAGCTCAACAAGAGGAGCGCGGTCAATTTCTTCTAAAATTTGCTTCAGAAAAGTCAGGTCAACACTACTGATGAAACCACTGTCTTCGAGTTGACGGAATATACTAGCAGCGCCGCCAAGCGTTTGCATGTCCCGTTTTGATATCTGTCGACCTTGGAGAACAATTTTTAATTTATTCACCTCTTCAGTACCGAGCGCGCCATCCAATTGTCCATACAGGCTGCTGAGAGGATGGATACGCTGCTGGTTGGATCTCGTACGCGATCCAGTCATGATTCGTTCGCCAAGGTCACGTGATAGCGAAGATACCGCAGATACCTAATGTGCCGGCGATATTGTCCGATCGTCTGGAGATATTAAATACTCAGGCTGCAATTTGGCGTCAATGGAGAAAGTTGCCGAGTGTGTATATTTCCATGATATGCTTTTGTTGCTTCCGGGTTCACTACACTGATATAATGAACATCTACGTCAAGTCGGTATTAAAGATTACGGACATCATACGCCATAAAGAAGGCAAACTCAATATGGGCACACACTATCAACAAATAATTACCAATAAGCAGCAACGGCGCCAAAAGTATACGACAAGCGCGATACGACGCTTCACAACAAAGATGGCTGAAATTAGTCACTGTAAGGAAACCCTGTGATGTCATTACTTTCGCTTTCTATGCTCTTTGTTCGCCGCGAAGGTCGTTGCGAACTTGAAATTGCGCCCTCAATGACGATTTATTTAAATAACAAATCTTTTGGGGTGTTTGGTTACCATTGAAACTCATCGCCAGATTGCCTGTAATTTTACCACATGGTTTTAATTTACGTGGCTACTCGCAAAACTACAGATCAAAGGTATATATGGTCACCAGACTACTTTTCAGTTATAATTTTATACCAAGTCCAGTTGTCTTAGACTCCCGTATCCTTTATTTTTTT